CGGTTTGCGTTCGTTAGGTTGTGAGTTCGATTCCCTGCGTTTGCGAGATTTTCTTCGATAGGAGTAAATAAATATAATAAATTGTAAAAATAATAATTAAGTATGTGTAACGTAAAGATAAAAAAATGTTGTGCGATAAATGATTTTAATTTATTTTTTTAATTAAAAAAAATTGATTTTTTTTTAATTTTTAAATATTTGTAGTCAGAATTCATGAGAAGTAAGTCAGGAATCTTGAAAACTATTTTATAGAAAGAAATGTCATTTAACATCACAAATAGTCACAGGGTTTAATGATTTATGGTATGGGCAAAAAAAGGGTCAGCTCCGATCCTCATAAAAAATCTGACTACTATTGACGATTCTTTGACTAAACCTCACTTATTGTGGTGTGCTGTGACTGCAATCGTAACAAAAACAGTCTCAAAACGTCAGATATCCTGACTAATTTTTTGACGTTCTGTGATTTTATTTTTAGCAGGGCTTGCAGGACGAGTAGACACGCCTGTGACTTATTGTTAGTATAAAATGCGAGATATTTCTGTTTTTATAGTGTACATATTGACTTGTCGTATTATTTATTAAATCTTTTACACATTTCTTTCAAATAATCTTTTCAAAGAATTAAAGTTTATTTAATTACAAATAGTAATAATAAATTAAAACAATAATTAACAGATTAAAATTCCTAAAAATAAAAAAATTTACTTTTTTGAGACTGTATATATAATGTAGAGAAACTGAATCAATTTTTTGGGTCTTAAAGTTAATAATATATAATGAAAATCAATAAATAAGTTTTCAATTAGCAAGTGAAATTAATTGATTAATATAATTGACGCAGTAAGAGATTAAACATAAACAATAAACATTGTATAAACCGCCTTTCTCTTGGTATAGAAGACTCTGTACGAAAAGTATATTGTACAGAGCTAGCTCAGTATAGAAAATTCTGAACAATGGCCGGAAATTTCAACTCTGTACAAAATCGCTTGTATACTTCGCGGTCTGTACAAAAATGTCTGTATCTGCGCTTTGTACAATTTCAGGCTTTGTATGTAACATATCAATAAAAACTATTTCATTACGATAAAGTGCCCAAAAAAATTCATAAATAAAAAGAAAAACTAAAAAAATCCTGTTTTTTTATTAAAAAATTGTCTGTAATTTGTTTATTTAAGAACATACGTTAATTTTCATTACGGAATTTGAAAGAGCGATTCTTAAACTATAAGAAATTTTAAAAATAAAATTTTAAAATCTTATACGTTATAACAATTTTAGTATTTTATTTTAAAGTTATTAAAAAAGAATAGCTAAATTACCATTTTTCTTTAATATTTCCAGAAAAATTTTAAATTTTGTATATTTAAATATAGATTATACTCGTTTCAGAGTGGTAAAAATGAGTCCAGCATCTGGCCTATTGATTCAGGCCATTTCCATTCTTACGGAATTATTATTATAATAAGTTCTGATGAATTTTTCGAAAAAGTGTTCACCATCTTGAATTTTTGAAAACAAAGTTCAAATTCGTAATCAGCGACTCCGAAAACCCCCGAGTAACGAGTTTCATGCGATTCCGATGAATTTTTCGAAAATGTGTTAGCCATATTGGTTTTTTGAGCTTATCTCAAAATCCTTATCTGATGGGGTAAAATGGACCTCGAATTCGGATTCAGCGACCAAAAAAACATAAAGTAGGCGTAGTCAGACCCCCAGATCAAAACTTGTTTTTTGTGTGGCTGTGTAATTTAACGTCAATAAATAAATTTGCGAGGCCACTTGCTCCTTAGGAGATGGCGACTTTCTATTCTATTTTGAAGGACACTCAAAATCGCTACCACGATATTATAATTAATCGCGAATACGGATGCAGAAGAAATTCCACATTTTTTTCCTCACATGATTCATTTTTCCTCGGTCCCTTTGTGCCACTTATTATGGTGGGAAGGAACCACTTTCAGTGGGCCTCCGCTGTCAATTTTTGCTGAATTTGAAATTCCCACGTTCTAATGGTATTTTTGTGTGAAAGTAGTGCAGGTAAACTGATGTACTCTACCCTCGCGCAACTCGGTCTTGGTGCATCTATATGATATATGATTGTCTATATATATATATATATATATTTTTTTTAAATATGTATTATATTTTTATTTTCGTTTCTAAATTATAATATAACATTAAACTTGATCAGTAATTAATCAATAGTATTTTTATATTTTATTTACAAAAAATTGTTTATTATAATTTTTATAAAGATGATGAAATTATGACGGAGCAACGCGAGGAGTAAGTGGGTCACTTCCAGGATTGAACCAGCGAACATACAAACTCACTGATAGTAGCCTCAAGCAGAATTAATATAAATTTTTTTGTTATTTATTTGTTTTCTATTAAAATTTATAAAATTTTAGGATTTCTTGACTTTGGTTTGCTCAGCAATTCTCATTTACAATTGACAAATAATAAGATAAATATAGTGGGACAATTTAGAAGAATATTTTGTATTAATTTAATTAATTAATTTGATTAGTGTTTGGATTAAATTTGGGCGTGGACATACTTACACGAGAACGCTTAATTCTTTATTATTAAATTGAAATATAGATATAAAAGGTAATTTTAACAACCAAAACATTAATTATAATTCAAATCTATATACGTGCACAACTGTGCATTCATTTCACTTCTGCTGCGGTGACATCTAGACCTTTTCCCTAGAACTAAATCTATAGTCTCTCTTTCCCTCAATATGAGTGCCACTACGGTGGACATAACAATCGATTATTGAGATTGGAACTCATCAATGCAAAGGTTCCTGGTATATATATTTGGATGTAAGTCCCGAATATTCAAGAACGCCAGTAAGACAAAAATGCTGTTTGTTGACGATCTGTCGAAATACTACTGGCAGACATTTTCCTATGGAGTTCTCACATCAATCAATTCAACATCGGATAGTTCGGGAATCTGTGTTACCGACGGCGTATTGAATAGTAACTAATTTAAATTTTACTCAGAAAAGAGGCCGCTGATTAGCGACGCTTTTGAGTATGACCTGTCAGCCATTTTACTCTCATTCTCATTCTGGTGTTCGTCGAGTTAGTGTCATTCTCTTTTGGTAAAATATTTCAAAATTTTAAGTTTAAACGAAGACGAGGCAAGGATCGTCGTCGTCAGCATTGAAATTCGGACGGTCAGTCACAATTATTTGATTTAAGGGTCGTTTCCTTCCGAATCGATATCATTAAAATTAAAAATGTTATAATTGATAAAATTAAATATGAATCTTGTCTCTTGGCCTTCTGATAATTTTTGACCTTTTCTAAATTTTGAAGTGAATATTAATAGTGTAATTGTTGTAAATGTGTAATTAATGCTGTTTATCTTTATCCCCCTCTCTGCTGTCTATTGTTGCTGTATGGTAATAATAGAATTCCTGAGCTGGTTTTTTCTATATTTTTCACTTTGTCGGGTTATTTAACTATTTTCTAGTTTCGTTATTTTTCAAAAAATAACTTGGCGTCTAGCAATATGAAAAATTAAAGTACTCAGCGAGAAATGATAGGTTTAATCGACGTCTAAGACATTGAGAATAGGTCTAAAATTGATCTAGATTAATTAAAAATAGACGTTAATTTAATTGTGTTTTTAAGAAGTAGAATAGTGTTTAAACAGTAGCTTGAACATAAAAAACCGACCTCTTGCCCAAAAACAAATTTTTTAAATCTTTTAAAATTTTTTCAAGCATTTAAGAAAAAAACATCAATACTATGAACACTTACATTATCCCTCACAGAATCGGATATTTTAAAATATCCCTGAAACGTCCTAGGGATATAGATTTTCTTCCAGCGGTTTGGATATCCTGAAGTTATGCAAACTGCCTGATATACTCATGACGTTTTAAGGATATCCTGAAATCTCTGGTGCTGTAAGGGTCTAAGACAATCATTAATTACTGGGTACTCAAAGGTTTTTAGATTCTATAAATCCAAACCTAAAGACAAAATTAAAAAATTTTAAATGTCGGCTTTTAAATATAGACAATACTGATAGTGTCATACTGTCTCAGCACTGAGAATTTACTGGCGTAAAAGTGTTCAATATGCAATATTGTTATAACATAAAATTATTTAAAATCCGACGTATTCGCGATATTGCGCCTATATTCTTACGGATGGGGGGATACTACCGAGGTCAGGATTATAGACGTCTTTTAGAGTTCCCTACATAGGTTACCTTTAAGAAATCCTTAAAGGAATTTTCAATATGGTTCAATTTCTTCTACGAGTTAGACGTCTAATAGACTCCAATTTCGAAGTCAACAACCTAGACGTCTAATAGACTCCAATTTCGACATCTCCAACCTAGACGTATAATGGCGTCTCATTTCGACTTCTAGGTAGATCTTGAAATAGACCTTATCTAGATCTTTGTTTAGACGTTAAATAGACGTCGATAAAACCTTTCATTTCTCTCTGGAATATAGATAACGTGTTTTGAGAAAAAATGTAAAAACAACATATCGACGCCTCCCATCCATATAATCGTAACTCAAATGTCAGAACTGTATAATCGTAACTCGGAGCTCAGTTCAATATGAACGTAGTTAATTTTCAGGAGAATAAAATCGTATCTCAGCAATCAATTCTATATAATCGTATCTCAAAATTTAATTCTATATAATCGTATCCCAAAACTCAACGTAATTATTATAATTATTATTTAAGCTTTATTTTTATTTTACGAAAGCTTAAATAATAAAAAAATAAAAATTTTGAGATACGATTATATAGAATTGTTCGTTGAGATACGATTTTATTCTTCTGAAAATTAACTACGTTCATACTGAACTGAGCTCCGAGTTACGATTATATAGTTCTGACATTTGAGTTACGATTATATGGACGGGAGGCGTCGATATATCCCAAAATCTATGTTATAATATATAGATATATGAACAAAATTTAAAAATTTTAAGAATATTTACTTACTTAATATCATAATTCTCTGCCTGATATCCATGCTTTTGGCAAACTTCATCGAGTACCTATAACATTAATTTTTATGTTTACTTATAGATTTTTAATTACAATACATAAATTTATTTATTTATAATCAGAAAATAAAAGTAAATTCTTTACCCACGTTTAAAGTTATATCCCACTTATAAAATAAGTGGTGTTCATATAATTCCGTAGGTAATATTTGTAAATAAAAAATTGACAAATCAGTTTACTACGGATGCTAACAACTGAAAAAGAATTCAGGCGAATTAATATTTAGGGGAGGATGGGGCAAGGATAGTTATTTGCTGTTATGCTTAGACGGCTTGCTCAAAAATCGCGTCAATCATGGTATATTTGCGTCTTAACACCAATAGATGATAGTAAAAATTGGAAGTCAATCTGCCACCATTTGCGAAGTCAGGAGTTTATTTTTGTAAAAAGTCTGTCTTTCTAAAATGTCAACGTAGTGTTAATCATAATGTTTTCTAGATTAGTGCTTCCGAATATTTATTTACGTAAGTGTTTTCCGGAGTATAATTTCCTGCTGAACACGAATATCGTATTTGTTCTCAAATTAATTCACGTCGTTCCTTAAAATTTAGAAAAAAATGAAATATGGGCCCATGGGGCAGGGATAGTTAGAGCTATTACTGCTCGATAAAATCCTGCTAATGCGACTGCAAATTATAAAACAATGTTTAATTGTTTTTTTAGGCTGATATACATAATGGTGCGTAATTATATACGGAAGTCGAAGCTTATTGACCAAGAAATTGGTAATCATCTGAAAAAAATTGGTTAAACATCAGATTCTAGTTCAGATGAATTTTAATGCAACAATTTATATTTAGAAAATGTTCAAAACATGTTGTTAATACTTGATATATCAATATTGAATAGTCTAAACGCAATAAAATAAAGAAAACGAATATTTACTGATTTTCTATGACATTTTAAGCATTCGGATTCTTTCCACTATCCTTGCCACGGTACTCGGACAAGGATAGTTAAAATTTTTTTTTACTTTTTCACTCGTATCTCATAGAGATTGCAGTCTACAGCAAAATTATAGCCAAATAACCTGGCTTTCCAAAAATACTACTCGTTTGCAGATAGAAATTCAGGTTTGGTCGCTAGATTCGAAAACGTCTTATCTAACTATTCTTGCCCCATCCTCTCCTATTGATAAAAAACCTCTATCAATAATCGTATATTCACTATTGAAATTAAATTAAAATTCCTACAACGTTATATTTATTACTTAATTATAGGAACTATTTAGTATGATTAGAAATATAATACAAAATTCTATGAAATCAGTAAGTATTCTTCAATAGAAATATATTTTAATTTTTATAAAAGTATACAGCAATAAAAATACTTTTTAAAATACTGTTTTCAATTTACATAATTCATTGTTCTTCAATAATATTAGAAATTATCTCATTTAGTTGTCTCTTTAAAGTGTTACGTGTGTTCTACATTTACTGTTGTTGCATCCTGAGATGTACATAATAATGATTTTAAATGTTGATACAATTAAAATTGTATCAATACTACTAGGTACAGCTTGGTATGTATAACTATGATTTTCTTTTTATTCTAAAATCCTTTATAAATGTTTATAAATATGTAAATAAATTTTTTAAAACCTATTCATCTAATAGATGCAAATGTTTACAGATGCAATTAGATTTTGAAACCTTTACAAAAAATACTCGGATTTATTTAACAAAAATTGGTCTAATGTAGCTACAAAAATCATAAAATTTGCTAAGAAAAGAAAGTCGACAGATGAGTGCTTGAAAGAAATTTTAAATAAAAATTGCAACATTGAAAATGAAGGTTAGTATATATTAAAAGTGGTGAAACAAGTATTACACGTAGTCTAAACTCAAAGCCAAGAAAATAATAATTTAAAAAAATACATTTTTATTAAATAAATTTAAAAATTTTGAATTAAATATTTCAAATTTGATTACTAATTAATTTGTTTTTATTAAACACTAACGGATTTTTTTTTAATACCAAATAATAATCTAATATTTGTCCTTTGTGAAAAAGCAATAGACTTTAGAGTACACCACAATTTGCTTAATATCATTAAATTGGATTTTGTCTTTGTACAAATCTCACTTAATGCCTAAAAATAACTCTTAAAAACTTTTAATTAAAAAAATTGACTTAGTATTAAAATAACCATGATTGAAATAATTGTTTTTTAATTAACTTTAATTAAAAATATGAATTTAGAAAAATATATGTAAATTATAACAAGTTCATTTCGATTGTAACAGAACACCGGCAAACCCTTGCGTTAATTTTATTACCCTTCCTGTTTCGAAAAATCACAAAACAGACGGTTCGTTCAAAAACAAAATCAACTTGGAATCCCGAGAAGAAGGAAGTTTTGAATACTTTTATTTTTTACATTGAGGTATTTTTATACAAATTATTAAATCTTTCTATTGTTTTCAAAAATATTTTTAAAAAAATAAATATTATATTTCATATTTTCTCTTATTTACAGAGTACAGAAAATTTTAACGAATTGTTAAAAAATGCAACGAATGAACTCTTGGATTTACATAATGCTCATAAAATTCAATTAAAACCTTTCGTTGTAATCAGTGGACCGACATTGAGTAACATAAGTTCAGCTTATGTTATTTTTGATAAATATAAGTATCAAGTCTCCACTACGACTTCCGCGGTAAACTTATGCTTCCAGTGCATGAAAGTATTGTCAGAAAACTATTTCAACGTTTGTAACCACGTGTGGCAATTTTTGGAATCCGAAATTTATGAAATGAACATTGAATAAATTTTATTATAAATTTAATAAATTTTCTACGGAACATTTAATATTTAATATACGCAAAAATGAGAGTTTGTATGTGTCTCCAAACATTTTTAATATTGGACAAGAATCTGTTTTCATGCAGGAAGAACAAGGAGTAAAAGTTGGCACGAAAACATGTCATGCTGTTCAAGTATCTTTAAAAGATTCAATACAAGCATTTTTTCAAGTACCTGGGATGTATGATCAAATGTCCAATTATTACAAAGAATTATCGGAAGATCGGACACTCTTATCCAATTTCGTAAACGGGAAATTATGGTTGGAAAAATACTGTCCAAAAAATGAGGGGAAAATAGTTTTCCCTATTTTCATTTATTTTGATGAATTTAAAGTAGGCAACGCATTGGGAAGCCATGCCAGGGAGCAAAAATTAGGAGGGTTGTTCGCTTCGCTCACTTGTTTGTTTCCTCACTTAGTAGCCAAATTGGAAAATATATTCGTTTTAACGCTTTGCTATGGCAAAGATTTGAAGAAATTTGGAAATAAAGCAATATTCGAAAAAAGTATTAAGGACTTGAATGATATATGTGAAAATGGCATTGAAATAAAAAATAGCAAAGAAACTTTCAGAATTTATTTTCAGTGTGTCTTAATATTGGGAGATAACTTAGCTCTTAATTGTATTTGCGGGTTTTCAGAAGGTTTTAACGCAAAATTCTACTGCAGAATTTGTAGTGCTGATTCTGCACAATGTAAAAAAATTACTGTCGCGGACAAAAGACTATTGAGAACTAATGGACATATGGAAAGGATTTGCTTCAAAATGATTTCACGTTAACAGGTGTTAAAGAAAAATGTGTGTTTAATATGATAAATGGTTTTGACATCACAGTAAATCAGTCTGTCGACTCCATGCATGACGGTCCAAAAGGTTTTGTGGCTTGCACAATTGAAAATGTTGTTGAACGTTTAATTGAAGAAGTAGATGAATTAGATGTAGACGTTATCAATAGCAGAATAGAAAGTTTCCCTTACTCAGAAATTGAAGAATCCAATAAGCCAAGACCGTTGTATTTTACTAAATCTAAGGACGGTAAAAAATTAAAAATAAAACAATCAGCTGCTGAAATGCTTTGCCTTGCAAGATATTTAGGCTTAATGATTGGAGACCTGATCTCCAAAATTAAATAAAGGTGAAATTCAAAATTTAAAAGACCTGATTCATTTGCATCATTCTTTGTATATTGAATTTTTTGGCGATTTGACACCAAAAATGCATTTATGGATATGTCGTAGGTCATTAGAAGAATCCGACAGTTAGCTAACTGCCTAGGCGGTTAGCTAACCGGCGCCGAATAAACAAATGAACTTGATTATTACTTGCATTCTTCTATTGGCCTGAGTAGATCCGCCAGTTAGCCAAATGCCTAGGCAGTTAGCTATCAGCCTAAAGCATTTTAGGCCATTAGAAAATATGAAACTTTCTTACTGAAATAATAATAAATAATAATAATTTTAATCATTTTTGTGAGTTTCAAACAAGTTTCGTAGTTAAAAAGGAATCCGCCTAGATTATAAATTTGTAATCTTGGATTTCTCGTGTTTCATTTGACAGTGTTGTTTTTGTTTCTCTTTTCAAAATGATTTGTTCTCTGTTTGTGACGATATTGTATTTACTTTTACTAAATTGATTAAATCGAACAGTAGAATATTATAAAAAAGTATTATTAGTTTTCATTTCGCGACCATTGAGAATTGACTTATTATAAAATTATAAAATTAATATTGAGAAATATAATTTTGAATAAATTTTGACAAAATTATTTGCTTATTATTGTACATAAAAAATGAGTGAGTGCAGTGTTAGTCGTGAAGAATTTGACGAAAATTTTAAATTAATTTATTCTGCGCAACAAAGTAATAGAATCGTTTGGAACAGAAGCCGTTTAGAAGCCGCTATACAGATTTTTAAAGAATTTGAAGATGTAAAGTCTAAAAAAAGTTGTGCTTTCTATCACTACTCAAAAACATACGAACTTATAAAACTGGGGGGAGAATATCACGTCATTTTAAAAAGAAAAAACGATAGTGATCCGTTAATTTATGTTATACCGGCTGAGGGTTATTATGAAAAACTATTAGAAGCTCATATTCAGACAGGTCATGGGGGGAGAGACAAAATGTTATACTATATTAAAAAAAAGTGGAAATTATCAAAACAAGCATGCGAGTTGTTTG